GGGTGTGGGTGTGGGAGTAGATGTTACTGTTATCATTCACATCCACACCCACACCCACCCGCACCCACACCCAGCCACCCACACCCACACCCACGCCCACACCCACGCCCACACCCACGCCCATCCACACCCACACCCACCCACTCTGTCTAAGTCTGGAATACCAATCTCAGTTAATATTATTTGAAATGTTCTCTTTACTTTCAAACAACTTCAAAAAATTATGTCATCTATTTGAATTTGAGACTTCATCATAACTTTTAACTATCGTTAGACATATTTAGAGAAAATTTGCTTTCCATCAAATCTTAAGCAATTGATAACTGATTATCTTAGCGGTAATCGAAATACGTGTCTTGCTAGCTTTTGATTTGACTGTATATACAAATCATTCTGCTAACACACCCACACCCTCCCTTAGCTGGGATGAAATATAGATAGTGGTAGCTCTTTCTCACCCTCACCCTCAAATGTCCATGAAGATTTATTTAGTTTTTAATCAAAAGTTATTGTGACACATACAGAGTCTCTTTCGTCACCAGTATGTTTTAAAACCCAAAGGTTTCTAAGGCAGCTTTAATGCCAAGATACCATCGGTTGCTACTCTTGAAGTGTTATATCCAACTCCCACATATATAGTATTCTTTGCAACAGATGCCCCGCTACCAAGTGGTGTATTTTTAATGCACTTTTCGTACAAAACTTGACCATTTTTCTTGTTCAGTCCATAGAGACATCCTTTGGTCGGATCGCTTGTTGCGAATGGTGGACTTCCACCTTGAACTAGAACAAGTTTATCCCAAACGGTCAATGCAAAATATGCGCTTGTTTGATTTACATTTGTTGTGGGATCAACTGTAGTCCACTTAATATTACCAGTAACTAGATCTAAGGCAGACCAACTTGCCTTCCTTGTTGTAGTTCCATCTGGCAGTGTGTAACTTAAACTGTCAGCATTGTTGTTGCCAATATAGAGATACTGATCATCAGCCGCAGAGCCAAACTGCAGTCCACCGGCAAAGGAAGCTGGTGAAACTGAAGTAGACCAGATAACTGTTCCTGTTTCAGCATCGAAGCCATATGCTATACCGGATTTTTGCCCAACAAACAACTGATCACGATTTTTGCCGCCAAACTTATACTTCAAGTTTAGTTTCAATATAGGAGCTTGAGCAAAGTCACTGTCAGGTCCAGGTTTATATGGACAGTTAGAATTTGGGAGTGGACCAGAAAATAAACAAGCTGCAGTCCATGCATCTATAGGTCCAAGAATTACACTCCAGCGAATGATTCCCGTGCTCATATCTAAGGCTAGAATAGCTTGACCATAAGCACCTCGCTGATTACATGGATCAGAATAGAGAGTCAAATTGCTAGTCTCATCCAGACATTGCTGAACTAAAGGCGGTACTTTGTAATAATTGCCAGTTCCAATATAGATTTGATTGCGCTTGCAATCAACTGGAAACTGACTACCCCAAACTGCAGCGCCTAAATAGATTAAGTTAGAAAGAGATGAAAAGAAAATTAATATTATATACCCTTTTAGTTCATAAACCTCACTAAGAGTATTTAAACTTTGCACCTTCAGAAACTCTTCAAGATATATGAGTAGTAATATACCGTTTAAAAGTTGATTCGCGTCATAAATCCTTCGACGAATCGTTTTTTATGATACAATTTTCGCCAATACGTGTATTAATCAACTCTTTTCCCTAGACTGAAAGGATAGGGTCTGTCACACGGTAAAGAAAACTTTTGTCTCTCTGTAACACATTTTAAAAACCACAGTGCGTGTGTTTCTTGGTTGATTGAGAGTCAAGACTTTTATTGTGTTAGATGGACAGCAAATCTTTCTTTCTCTCTTCATTGATCATTTTCGCGCGTTTTTGTTTTCTCGATCGCTGATGAATATCGCGTCTTGTCAACAATTCATGTTCTCTGTCTGTCTGTCTAGAATACTGGTTTGAAGCCTTGATCGATTTCTCGGTTGATTCTTGATTATATTTCAATGTGTGAAAAGTGTTCCATTGACTGTATGTTTTTCTAGCTGCGTGTTTACTTAGCTCATATCGTACAAAGAAGCTTTCCTAGTCATGACAGAAGGTTTGAGATTGAGTGTTGAGATACATCGCATGACAGTTAAAATTTTGTGATGATCTCAAAGGGAAAAAGCCTATACCAATAAAGGTTTCAAGGTTTAATTAAAGTCCAGTCTAGGGATGAGTGAATCCAAAGCCGATGAATGTTACTTGTCTTTAAGAGTTTGTCATGTTAAATAGCCTGTAAAAGAGGTATTACTACCATATATTTTAACCGATTTATGGAAATGCAATGTATAAAATACTTTTTATGAGCTTTAGGAATAAAAAGTGTATATGAAAGCGTTTATAAGGCGTATAGATCCCACGAGAATATGTGATTACGTACATAAACGAAAATGAGCTTCTGTTATTCTACGCCGGTTTTTTTATAGTGTACGAGATCTGTTTTCACCACAGGAGCTCTTTTTTTCTATTTCTTGTAGGCGTAAGAATTTTCAGGCAAGATAAGAAAAATATCAATTTGACTTGTCTGTGTGGAATAAGTTAATGTGTAGCAAAAAACCACTCCATTTTCTTTTTTAATTTACCTGAATATCCAGTTGTGGTTCCATTGTTGTCAGGGACCATTTTCGTCTCCCAAATAAGCTTGCCTGTACTGGCTTCCAGTGCTATCACAGACCCTTGGAATGTGCAACAGGGATATGTTAGATTAACTGCGAACATTTCTTCAGCCGATGATATGCCAATAAAAAGACGACCATTCGCCAGTTGAGGAGTGGCTGTTATTGTTGACGCTGGATGTGAAGAAACTAGAGTCTGCCATCGAAGTGCGCCAGTGAAACGATTCAGGGCTATGACATAAGAACCATGGCCTACTACCGTTTTCAATAGGGTGCCCTCCATTATACCCAGGATAATCATATCCTTATAAACCAGTGGACTTGTACGGGAAATATAAACATAGCCATTGTTAATAATAACTGACAGTTTTCTCTGCCACATTATTTTGCCACTGTCTGCACGAAGACAATAAAACGTTCCGGTGATAGTCGACACATAGACGCGATTTTCATAAACAGTTGGGGTCGTTTGAACCGGACCGTTTAGTATGGTGTACCATAGCTGTTTGAATTCGGATTTTTTAACTGGTAGAGTTACCGGAAGTGGTTCTCTTTGATAACGATCATTGTTATCATGTGGACTCCAGCCATTCCACCATTTTAAAGCATAGACATCGCTCCAAGTCAGCAGAGCGATGATGATCAAAAACGTGTTAAAGAACATCATTCGTGAAAACTAGATAAAATGTTGTCTAAAAGTGAAGTTATTCAAACTACAATTCATTTCTCCGACTTCAGAAGAGAGCCACTGGAAACCAAATGTTACTCAGTTTGTTTGCATGCTTCTCTGTTTGCAATGCAACAGGGTTGAAAAATAGATTTTCATTTTAGTTAAGTTACCAAGAGCGATGAACTTGTAGAGATTTCAAATTAGTGCGTGTTGGCAAATTGAGAAATATAAATAATAGATTGAGCAATTTCTTCTGAAGGACCGAAATTGGGTGAAACAGATATAAAGTAAAAAATTGTCGGTCTATTAAAATGAGACAGTCAACACATGGGAAATCAGTTGAACACGTCATAGAATAGTTGAATATTTCAACTTCAACTATTCAGTAGTTGAATAATTGAATAGTTGAATAGTTAAACTTCAACTATTTGGATACTTGAATAGGTGAATAGTTGAACTTCAACAATTCCAGAATTGAATAATCAAATAATTGAATAATTGAATAATTGAATTTAACTATTCAATTATTCAATGTATTGAATAGTTGAGTTCAATCATTCAATTATGGAATAGCTGAAGTTCAATCGTTCTATTATTCAATTATAGAATGGTTGAAGTTCAACCATTCAGTTATCCAATCTATGGAATAGTTGAAGCTCATCTATTCAATTGTTCCACGTATTGAATGGTTGAACTCAACTTCCAAGTTTGACATATATGGTCAAGTGATTTGTATACTCGTTTTCGGATTCGGATAAGCCGAAAAAAAAGAAGGGTTTAACTTAAAAATTTCGAATCTAGCCTTGAGAAATGAAATAAGTAAAATTCCACACGAAGTAGTACTACGACGGATTAAGTAATAAAAAGTACTATGACACTGTAAGTAATACGAAGTACAGTGGCATTGTGAATAATAAAAAGTATGATGAAAGTGTAAGTAGTGCAAACACAGCACTTACCTTTTACTTGTTTGATTTATAATATTTACTATCGAAAAATGAAATTATCAACATTGTTCGCCGCTTTTATACCTGCAGCTCTTGTGTTTCTCTTGCTCTTATTTTCTCTCCTTCTCTCGCTCTATAATTATCAGTCTATCATCTTCTGATTTCTCTCTCTCTCGTTTATATTCTCTCTCTCGCATATTTTCTCTCTTCCCTTATTTTCTCTCTCCCCCTTATTTTCTCTCTTCTCTCTCCTATTTTCTTTCTCTCACTCCGCTATCTTTGTCTTTTTTTGCTCTCTATTTTTTCTCTGACTTTTTCTCCACCGAATTTTTTTTCACTCCCTGATCTTGAACAGACCAATCAAAATACGAGGCTTCTTAGAATGAGCTTTCTACCCACTGGAATACGATGCGATAAAGATCACGAAAAATGCTCATACTCTTCTATGATACAAAGCACGATATTCTACAATTTGAACTATAATATATAATTGAGATCAAATCTTCACTTTCGCTTTTTAGGATATTTTTATATAAAAGCAGCCAAAATTTGAATTCTAATTTAGAAATGGGATAAAACTTTCGCTTTAGTCTTTTTCGGCTAGCTTTGTGAAAATTTCACGCAAGTGAAGTTGTCCCGAGGTTCGAGTAAATCCTGGCCCGATTCACCCACGAACTTGTTCCAAAGCTTCTATTCTTCTTCCAAATAGAATTCGATGAGCTCTATTCAATGGTACAATTAGATTTTCGATAGCCAACACTATGGAGGAAAAAACTCCAAAATACTTGTTTTTTACAATACATTCCATAAATAATTAGATTTTTTATAGCACGAACTATGTGATCAAAAAGCCCAAAAAAGCTATCGTATACCCGATAAGTCATGAAGCTCATACCATAGATCCTGCCCCGATTCGCTTAGGAACTTGTTCCAAATCTTCTATTCTTGTTCCAAGCAGAACTAGGATGTGGGTGTGGATTCAAAGAGATAAACAGTCATTCACGTCCACGCACACCCAGGCTACCGAGTAGATATTTTGGGCTTTTTAACTATATAATTTGAGTTATAAACAATCTAATCATACCATTAGATAGAGCACATCGAGTTCTACTTGGAAGTAGAATTGGAGGTTTGGAACTAATTCCTAAGCGAATCGGGGCAGGATCTACGGAAAGGGTTCTATGAAATGTATGGAAAAAAATCAGTATTTTGGACTTTTTGACCACAAAGTTTGGGCTATCAAAAATCTAATTATACCATTGGATAGAGCTCATCGAGTTCTACTTGGAAGAAGAATAGAAGCTTTGGAACAAGTTCGTGGACTGATCGGGGCAGGATTTACTCGAATCTGGGGCTGACTTCACTTTCGTGAAAATTCCCCCAAAACTTGAATTAAGTTTTATAATTACGATAGACTTCTCGCTCGTGCTTTTTGAGCTCTTTTCGTATAAAAGCAGTCGAAATTTGAATTATAATGTATAACTCGGATCAATTTTTAACTTTGACTTTTTAGGCTATTTTTATATGAAAGCAACCAAAATTTGAATTATTTTTTATAATTGGGATAAAATTTTCGCTTTGGCTTTCTCGGCTAGTTTGATGTAAAATTCCCCTAAGCTTCAATTATGAATTATAATTACGATAAAATTTTGGCTTTGGCTTTTTGGGCTATTTTGTATGAGACCCGCCAATATTTGAGTTATAATTTATAATTGAGATCACATTTCGGCTTTCGCTGTTTTGACTATTTTTTTTATAAAAGTAGCCAAAATTTGCATCGTAATTCATAACTGGCATAAAATTTTGGCTTTCGTTTTTTCGACTACTTTTTGATAAAATTAGCCAAAATTTGAATTATATTTTATAATTGGGATCAAATTTTCGCTTTGGTATTTTTTGGTATTATTATATAACATCAGCCGAAATTGGAATCAGAACATATCATTGGCATCAAATTTTCGCTTTGGCTTTTGGGCTTGTTTTATGTAAAATTCCCCAAAATGTGAATTATGATTTATAACTACGATCAAATTTTCGTTTTAGCTTTTTTGACTACTTTTATATAGGATTAGCGCAAATTTTAATTTAAATTTATAATTGGGATAGAATTTTCCCTTTAGATTTTGCGAGTATTTTTATATAAAAATAACCAAAATTTGAATTACAGTTTATGATTGTGATAAAATTTTAGCTTAAGCTTTTTTACCTATTTTTATACAAAAGCAGCTTAAATGCGAATCATAATTTATAATTGGGATAAAAGTGTTGTTTTCGCTCTTTTTTTAAGTAAGCAGTCAGAATTTGAATTCCAATTTATAAGTGAGATAAAGTTTTGGCTATGATTTTTTGGGCTACTTTAAAATAAAAGCAGCCAAATTTGAATTATAACTTGTAATTCGAATAAAAATTTTGCTTCGCCTTTTTGAACCAGTCTGATACAAAACTTCCCAAAACTTGGAACTATAATTTATAATTGGGATGAAATTTTAGTTTTGGCCTTTTAGCCTCTTCCCATATAAAATTAGGCAAAGTTTGAATTATATTGTACAATTCGGATCAAGTTTTCACCTTTGTTATTTTGGTCACTATTATATAAAATTAGCCAAAATCGAAATTATAATTTATAACTGGTATAAAGTTTTGGCTTTGACTTGTTTGGCTACTTTTAAATAAAGCACCCAAAATTCGAATTATAATTTATAATTGAAATAAAACTTTTCCTTCACCGGTTTTGGCTAGTTTTATGCAAAAATTCCCCAAACTTTCAATTATAATTTAGAATTTCGATCAAATTTTGTTTTTAGCCTTTTAAGATACTTTGGTATAAAATTAGCCAAAGTTTTAACTATAATGTATAACTGGGATCAAATTTTTGCTTTGCTTTTTTTTGCTACTATTATATGAAATTAGCGAAATTTGAAATTAGAACCTATCAATGGGATCAAATTTGGCTTTCGCTTTTTCGGCTAGTTTTATGTAAATTTTGGAAAAATCTCAATTAGAATTTATAATTGGAATCAAACATTGGCTTTGGCTTTTGGGAGTAGTTTTATGTAAGCCTGACTTACCCCTTTCGTTGGACGTTCAGTTTCCAAAAAGGTTTTTAAAATAAATCTATTTATTCAAATATACTATTGTTTTCTATATGAAACGATTGACATATCTGTCGTTTTCAAGTGGTTTGTTAGTAGACAATACGCCATAGAACTTTGACAATTAGCTCTTTTCAAAATGCTGCTCACAACTACTCGGATTGAAAAATCGGATGTAGGATCATGTAAGATCAGATGAAATTGCAGAAAGAAATCGTTGTCTCAGAAGTCTTACACTAAGTGGTACTATGAGATTCTCGAAAGATCTTCACATAAGATTTCCCATAGTCTTGTATTG